TGGAGCGTTTTCCGTTAATGTAGCTTTGTATACAGACTGATTAAATACAGGTGCATTATCATTCACATCAAGAACAGTGATATCTATATTTACTTTACCAGATCTCTGCGGAGATCCACCGTCAACAGCTATCAGCTTTAGAGACAGATTAGGGTAGGTCTCTCTGTCTAATGGCTTTTGCAGCACCATCTCTGCGTATTTCTTTCCGTCGGCATTAGAGGTTTGTTTCACAACAAAATTCTCATTCTCGGTCAAAACATATTCCTTTAATCCATTGACACCAACATCTGGGTCTTCTGCACTCGTCAACGGAAAACGAGCGCCAGCACTGTTAATTTCGCTGATTTGAAAACGGATAGTATCTTTTTTGAAAACGGGAGAATGATCATTTATGTCTGTTATTTCTACTGTAATTTGATGCAACTCCATCGGGTTTTCTAAAATCACCTCAAAGCTGAAGCTACACGGCGTTTCGTCTCCACAAAGCTGCTCTCGGTCTATTCGCTCTTTCACGACTAGAAACCCTTAGTCTGTCTTCAGCTCGGTGTACTGAATGTTTTCTCCGGTCACGATACGGGCCCGTCCAGAACGGAGCCTCTTCAGATCCAAACCGAGATCCTGTGCTAGATTACCGATTAGGGAGCCTTTCTTCATCTCCTCTGGGATTGAATATCGGACTTGTCCACTGACCACTTGGATTAGATATATCAAGAAAAACAGGAGCTTCCCATTATGTCCGCATCCAAAGTGCCATCTCACGCATCGCGAGTATGGAGAGATTCCACTCGCCATTGCAAAAATAAAAATAGGAAAATATACTCTGCACCGAAAAAAACACGACCCGTATCCTGAAAAGGACACTGAGCGTACGTATAAGTAGACTTTCCGTGGTCTTTTCAGTTTGTATTTATCCGAATTAAGATTTAAATGATTGCTTGTTTTATACCCTCAGATATCAGCTCACAAAGTGCACACCACCTCCTTTTCTCTCATAGGGAGGGGACTTTGTGATAACGTTTTGGAAAACGTAGATTAACCAACAGCGTCGTTTAGAGTCCACAATCAGTAACACCGTGCAACATCGAATACATTTTGGAAATAATAAGTGGTTGATCAAATCTGAATGGTGCATACTCAAACTATGACAAAATACGTAATCCAAGTATTCCGTAAAATAAAATAAAAATACATATTCATCTAAAATTAATTATTATCATGTATGTATTTGTGTGCAGTTAAATCTTTATAAACGCAAATAGAAACATAATTACCAAACAAGTAACCCAAATGAACACAAGCAAAGTACAACTTCAATCCTATTTAATTTAGGGAAACAATGTGAAATATAAAACATGGGGCTTGGTAAAACTAATTGAGATTAAATAAGGAACGCATTGATTTTTAGTAAAAAAATGCAGGTCAAGAGCAAACCACAACCACTATTTCAAACGTTTTAACAGACTGGTGAGCAGCCTCGATGCAAACCACATACAAAAAAATGACAAGACCAAGGTAAAACAAAATGCGTCTAAAAAAAACCTTGTCTATGTAAAACCAAAAATCAGCATATTAATAAGAGGGAAAAAATGAGAAGAATATTTTGTAAAGTTCTGAAAGTAAATAATGAAGCGGTATTCATATCAAACGAGAGGAGAGATGCTTTCCATGGTGCTGAATAGGATGCAGCACTTCACTAACAATGTCTCTAAACACAGAAAAAGAGGAACCGTCACAGAAAGCTACATTATTTGACTAACCTCTAGAGGAGAGTCGGGTTCATCCAAGATGCTCTTTTCACTCTGTATCCGCTGCATCGTCCCTGTAGAACTGGGGTCCATTATCAGCACGTTCTGACTACCAGCTCTGCCGGACTTACAGTCACTCTTTCTGGAGTCAGTCGTCCTGCACACCTCGTAATTGTACACATGTTGGAGAGTCCCTGTCCCCAAAGTGTCTGAGTAACGTGGAGGGTAATATGGAATCACAGGGAGATTGGAGTGACACATGATGCGAGACTGTCTCCACCTGTAGATCTTCACTGATATAATAACCACCAAACACGTGATGAAGAGGAAGGACACTACAACCAGAGCCAGCACTAAGTAAAAAGTCAGGTTGTCATTGTACTCCTTGTCCTGTGTAAAGTCAGTGAACTCAGACAGCACTTCCGGAAAGCTGTCAGCCACCACCACGTTAACAATGACTGTAGCTGAACGAGAGGGCTGCCCGTTGTCCTCCACTTTAACAGTCAGTCTTTGTTTCACAGCATCTTTATCAGTCACCTGGCGGATAGTCCTTATTTCTCCATTCTGTAAGCCCACTTCAAACAGCGCCCTGTCTGTGGCTTTCTGCAGTTTATAGGAGAGCCAGGCATTCTGTCCAGAGTCCACATCAACAGCCACCACTTTAGTGACCAGATAGCCCACATCTGCTGAACGAGGCACCATCTCAGCCACCAGAGAGCCACCAGTCTGGACTGGGTACAGGACCTGAGGAGGGTTGTCGTTCTGGTCCTGGATCAGTATTTTCACAGTCACATTGCTACTGAGTGGAGGAGAGCCTCCGTCCTGAGCTTTGATCACGACAACCAAATGTTTGATCTGCTCGTAATCAAATGAGCGCACTGCCTGTATCATTCCGCTTTCTGCATTTATAGAAACATATGCAGACACCGGAGACCCGCCAATTTTTGTATCTTCCAGAATATAAGATATACGGGAGTTTTGGTTTTCATCAGGATCTTTAGCTCTCACAGTGAGAACAGAAATACCTGGAGAGTTATTCTCTGCAATAAACGCATTGTAAACACTTTGTGAAAACGCAGGAGCATTATCGTTCACATCAGAAATCTTTAAATTAAAGTTTGTTCTTGTCAAGAGAGGAGGCCTTCCTGCATCTGTCGCAACTACAGTGATATTATATTCTGAAACACTTTCACGATCCAATACAGTATCTGTTACCAAAGTGTAGTAATTTCTTAAATTAGATGTAATCTTAAAAGGTGTATTTTGTTCTATTTTACATGTCACCTGTCCGTTTTCACCTGAATCAAGATCTTTCACATTTATAATGCCAATAGTTGTACCAGGAGGAGAGTCTTCTGACACAGGGCTAGTGAAGGACATGACACTAATCGTAGGGGAGTTGTCATTTACATCACTTACTTCAATTATCACTTTACTGGAATCTGTCAAACCTCCCTGATCTTTTGCATCTATTCTGAGCTCGTACTTGATGTCTTTTTCATAATCGATAGCACCTCTAATAAATACGAGACCAGTTTTTTCATCAATCATAAACAAATTACCGAGTTCACTATTGAGGTCGGAAAAAGAATACGTTACAATACTATTTGACCCAAAATCTGCATCACTGGCGTTAACAGTGGTAACGTAAGTATCTCTGGGAGCGTTTTCCATTACTGTAGCTTTGTATACAGACTGATTAAATACAGGTGCATTATCATTGGCATCAAGAACAGTGATATCTATATTTACTGTACCAGATCTCTGCGGAGTTCCGCCGTCAACAGCTATCAGCTTTAGAGACAGATTAGGGTAGGTCTCTCTGTCTAATGGCTTCTGCAGCACCATCTCTGCGTATTTCTTTCCATCGGCATTAGAGGTTTGTTTTAAAACAAAATTCTCATTCTCGGTCAAAAAATATTCCCTTAAATCATTGACACCAACATCTGGGTCTTCTGCACTTGTCAATGAAAAACGAGCGCCAGCATTAGCTGATTCGCTGATTTCAAAACGGATAGTATCTCTTTTAAACGTAGGAGAGTGATCATTTATGTCTGTTATTTCTACTGTAATTTGATGCAACTCCATCGGGTTTTCTAAAATCACCTCAAAGCTGAAGCTACACGGCGTTACGTCTCGACAAAGCTGCTCTCGGTCTATTCTCTCTTTCACGACTAGAATCCCTTTGTCTGCCTTCAGCTCGGTGTACTGGAGGTTTTCTCCGGTCACGATACGGGCCCGCCCAGAACGGAGCCTCTTCAGATCCAAACCGAGATCCTGTGCTACATTACCGATTAGGGAGCCTTTCTTCATCTCCTCTGGTATAGAATATCGGATTTGTCCGCTGACCACTTGAATTAGATAAAGAAAGAAAAACAAGAGTTTCCAATTCTGTCCGCAGCCAAAGTGCCATCTCAGGCATCGAGAGTGTGGAGAGATTCCACACGCCATTGCAAAAATAAAAATAGGAAAATATACTCTGCACCGAAACCAACACGACCGATATCCTTTAGTTTCTATTTATCCGAATTGAGATTGAAATGCTTGCTATTGTGTTACCCTCAGATATCAGCCCACTAAGTGCACACCACCTCCTTTTCTCTCATAGGGAGGGGACTTTGTGATAACGTTTTGGAAAAACGTAGATTAACCAACAGCGTCGCTTAGAGTCTAAAATCAGTAACACCATGCAACATAGATGACTTTCTGGAAATATTAAGTGATTGATCAAATCTGAATGGTGCATACTCAAACTATGAAAAACTACGTAATCCAAGTATTCCGTAAAATAAAATAAAATACATATTCATCTCAAATTAATTATTATCATGTATGTATTGGTTTGCTGTTAAATCTTTATAAACCCAAATACCGTTTGTTAATTACCAAACAAGTAACCCAAATTAACACAAGCAAAGTACAACTTCAATCGTATTTAATTTGGGGAAGCAATGGGACATATAAAACATGGGGCTTGGTAAAACTAATTGAGATTAAATAAGGAACACATTGATAGTTAGTAAAACATTTCAAGTCCTGAGCAAACCACAACCACTATTTCAAACCTTTTAACAGACTGGAGAGCAGCCTCGCTGCAAACCATGTTTAACAAATGATAAGACCAAGGTAAAACAAAATGCGTCTAAAAAAAAACTTTGTCTATATAAAACCAAAAATCAGCATATTAATAAGAGGGAAAAAGTGGAAAGAATATTTTGGAAAATTCTGAAAGTAAATAATGAAGCGGTATTCATATCAAACGAGAGGAGAGATGCTGTCCATGGTGCTGAATAGGATGCACCACTTCACTAACAATGTCTATAAACACAGAAAGATAGGAACTATCACAGAAAGCTACATTATTTGACTAACCTCTAGAGGAGAGTCGGGTTCATCCAAGATGCTCTTTTCACTCTGTATCCGCTGCATCGTCCCTGTAGAACTGGGGTCCATTATCAGCACGTTCTGACTACCAGCTCTGCCGGACTTACAGTCACTCTTTCTGGAGTCAGTCGTCCTGCACACCTCGTAGTTGTACACGTGTTGGAGAGTCCCTGTCCCCAAAGTGTCTGAGTAACGTGGTGGATAATATGGAATCACAGGGAGATTGGAGTGAAACATGAGGCGAGACTGTCTCCACCTGTAGATCTTCACTGATATGATAACCACTAAACACGTGATGAAGAGGAAGGACACTACAGCCAGAGCCAGCACTAAGTAAAAAGTCAGGTTGTCATTGTACTCCTTGTCCTGTGTAAAGTCAGTGAACTCAGACAGCACTTCCGGGAAGCTGTCAGCCACCACCACGTTAACAATGACTGTAGCTGAACGAGAGGGCTGCCCGTTGTCCTCCACTATAACAGTCAGTCTTTGTTTCACAGCATCTTTATCAGTCACCTGGCGGATAGTCCTTATTTCTCCATTCTGTAAGCCCACTTCAAACAGCGCCCTGTCTGTGGCTTTCTGCAGTTTATAGGAGAGCCAGGCATTCTGTCCAGAGTCCACATCAACAGCCACCACTTTAGTGACCAGGTAGCCCACATCTGCTGAACGAGGCACCATCTCAGCCACCAGAGAGCCACCAGTCTGGACTGGGTACAGGACCTGAGGAGGGTTGTCGTTCTGGTCCTGGATCAGTATTTTCACAGTCACATTGCTACTGAGTGGAGGAGAGCCTCCATCCTGAGCTATGACTACCAGCTGAACTTGTTTAATTTGCTCATAATCAAAAGAACGAATTGCACTAAGAACTCCAGTTTCAGAGTTCAAAGACACATAAGTAGAAACTGGACTTCCACTGACTTGTGTTTCCTCTAAAAGATAAGAGATTCTCGCGTTTTGGTTCCAATCAGAGTCCCGCGCGCTGACAGCAAATATTGTCGCTCCAGGTGAATTGTTCTCTGTTATGTAAGCGGAGTAACTATTTTTATTAAACAAAGGTGCGTTGTCATTTACATCAGAAAGTTTAAGATGTAATTCTCTTGAGCTAGAAAGTGGGGGAGAGCCCATGTCAGTGGCTGTTATTGTTATATTATATTCGGAGACAGATTCTCTATCAAAGTGTTGATCTGAGATCAAATTGTAATAATTAGTTAGAGAAGATTCTATCTTAAAAGGAAGTTTACCATCTATTGAACATTTTATTTGCCCATTTTTTTCAGAGTCTGGATCTTTTATATTTAAAATAGCGATTGTTGTACCAGGAAGGGCATCCTCAGAAATTGGACTGGAAAATGACATTATATTTATAACTGGTGCATTGTCGTTAACATCTAGAACATCAAATATAATTTTACTTGTTCCAATTAAGCCACCCTGATCCTTTGCCTCTACTCTCACCTCGTATTTTCTGTCTTTTTCATGATCTATTTGCCCAGACACAGAAACTATGCCGGTGATTTCATCAATACTGAATACATTTGCTGCACTTCCTTTTGTTTTTGACAAACTGTAATTTATGAGTCTATTTGAACCACTGTCAGCGTCTGTGGCAATAACTGAGATAATGCTCGTGCCTTTCATTGTGTTTTCCATCAGAGATGCTTTATACACTGATTGGTTAAATATTGGAGCATTGTCATTGGCATCTAACACAGTGACATCTATATTTACTGTACCGGATCTTTGGGGAGTTCCTCCGTCAACTGCGATCAGTTTTAAAGACAGATGGGGATGTAGCTCTCTGTCTACAGGCTTCTGAAGCACCATTTCAACATATTTACTTCCGTCTGGATTTGCATGTTGCTTCAAAATAAAATTATCGTTTGGTGATAAAACATAATCTTGCAACGCGTTTTGCCCCACATCTAGATCCTCTGCGCTCTGCAGTGGAAACTGCACCCCGACTGCAGCCGATTCACTCATTTCAAAACAGATAGGCTTCTCTTTATTTGGAAAGCTGGGAGCATGATCATTGATATCTAAAACCTCAACAGTTACTCTGTGCAGTTCCATTGGATTTTCTAAAATCATCTCAAAGCTGAAGCTACACGGCGTTTCGTCTCCACAAAGCTGCTCTCGGTCTATTCTCTCATTCACGACTAGAATCCCTTTGTCCGTCTTCAGCTCGGTGTAGTGGATGTTTTCTCCGGTCACAATACGGGCCCGCCCAGAACGAAGCCTCCTCAGATCCAAACCGAGATCCTGTGCTACATTACCGATAACAGAGCCTTTCTTCATCTCCTCTGGTATAGAATAACGAATCTGCGCTCCTACCATATTAACCGTGTGAAGCAGCAACATAAGCAGTCCTATTTGCCCTCGAAATCCATAAAACAATGGAAGTCTTGCGCATATGAAGGTGAGAGATCCCCGCAATGCCATCACGGCAACACAGAATAAAAAAATCTGTATCCAGTGGATAAGAAGGTAAAACTAGTTTCGATATATCCGTTTGCTGATGGTTAATCACGTCCTCCGCCTTTAAATGCAAGTCTGTGAGATTATGTTGTCTCTTTCGTGCCCTAAACCTCGACAAAACACAGAGAGCCTTCTCCACTGTATAGTCTGCTTAGGGATGGACTGAATGACGACATTTAACAGGATATCATTAACTGACCAACAGCGTCGCTTAGAGTCTAAAAGCTGAACATCAATTACAGCACATACCACACTAAAACTGACAAACTGAACTCTTCCTAGAAATCATTTCGGAAAGTCTTTAAAAAAACTACTTTACTGTGGTAAATTGAAATATTTGCCATTCAACAGGTTGTTTAATACGAAATTATTAGTATAAATTTAAGGCAATAGGACCAGTATGATTAAAGACAATGTAATCTCACTTTCAAGAAAAGTGGTCTACTGTGCACACGTTCGAACAAGAAAAACAATAAATAAATACATAAAATGGTAATCTTCATGTTAAAAATATAGGCATGTTTAAAAGCGAAAAACTTTGATTGACTCCCTATAATTTAGTGGTTTGCATGGTCTGATAAATCAATCACCTATAAGCAATATCATGAAAGTGGAGGATCCTGGTTCTACTTAAGACATTGCACAGCACTGTTCAAAATGCATGTGTTGCTAACGTAAACCACACTAACAGCATCTTTCTTTTCCAACCGTGAATATATTTTACCTGCTCATGTGACAAAACTATTTCCCAAATTTGTATAAGTAAAATAAATGGTATATAAACAATGATTGCGTTGCCAGAACACTGCACACACATCTGAAGGCTGAACATTACTGATGCTGCATTACTTTCACCACAACGCATTGAGACAAAATGCAGTAAATATAACATGTCATGAAGGCTCATTCAAGAGCCTTTGCTTTTCCAAACATATATTTGCAATTTTTAAAAGACACAGCATTTTGATCAGGTTGTGTAAGAAAAATAAGCGGTCCTTGGTGCTGAAAATGAAACTAGAAACAAAAAGAGAACAAAGGGGCCAAAAAGACGAAGCTGGCATTTTTGACTCACCTCCAGAGGAGAGTCAGGTTCATCCAGGATGCTCTTTTCACTCTGTATCCGCTGCATCGTCCCTGTAGAACTGGGGTCCATTATCAGCACGTTCTGACTACCAGCTCTGCCGAACTTACAGTCACTCTTTCTGGAGTCAGTCGTCCTGCACACCTCGTAATTGTACACGTGTTGGAGAGTCCCTGTCCCCAAAGTGTCTGAGTAACGTGGAGGATAATATGGAATCACAGGGAGATTGGAGTGACACATGATGCGAGACTGTCTCCACCTGTAAATCTTCACTGATATAATAACCACTAAACAGGTGATGAAGAGGAAGGACACTACAGCCAGAGCCAGCACTAAGTAAAAAGTCAGGTTGTCATTGTACTCCTTGTCCTGTGTAAAGTCAGTGAACTCAGACAGCACTTCCGGGAAGCTGTCAGCCACCACCACGTTAACAATGACTGTAGCTGAACGAGAGGGCTGCCCGTTGTCCTCCACTATAATAGTCAGTCTTTGTTTAACAGCATCTTTATCAGTCACCTGGCGGATAGTCCTTATTTCTCCATTCTGTAAGCCCACTTCAAACAGCGCCCTGTCTGTGGCTTTCTGCAGTTTATAGGAGAGCCAGGCATTCTGTCCAGAGTCCACATCAACAGCCACCACTTTAGTGACCAGGTAGCCCACATCTGCTGAACGAGGCACCATCTCAGCCACCAGAGAGCCACCAGTCTGGACTGGGTACAGGACCTGAGGAGGGTTGTCGTTCTGGTCCTGGATCAGTATTTTAACAGTCACACTGCTACTCAGTGGAGGAGAGCCTCTATCCTGCGCTTTGATCACGACAACGAAATGTTTGATCTGCTCGTAATCAAATGAGCGTATTGCCTGTATCATTCCGCTTTCTGCATTTATAGAAACATATTCAGAAACCGGAGACCCGCCGATTTTTGTATCTTCCAGTATATAAGATATACGGGAGCTTTGATTTTCATCGGGATCTTTAGCCCTAACAGTGACAACAGAAGTACCTGGAGAGTTATTCTCTGCAATAAACGCATTGTAAACACTTTGTGAAAACACAGGAGCATTATCGTTCACATCAGAGATCTTTAAATTAAAGGTTTTTCTTGTCGAGAGAGGAGGCCTTCCTGCATCTGTCGCAACTACAGTGATATTATATTCTGAAACACTTTCACGATCCAATACCGTATCTGTTACCAAAGTGTAGTAATTTCTTAAATTAGATGTGATCTTAAAAGGTGCATTTTGTTCTATTTTACATGTCACCTGTCCGTTTTCACCTGAATCAAGATCTTTCACATTTATAATGCCAATAGTTGTACCAGGAGGAGAGTCTTCTGACACAGGGCTAGTGAAGGACATGACACTAATCGTAGGGGAGTTGTCATTTACATCACTTACTTCAATTATCACTTTACTGGAATCTGTCAAACCTCCCTGATCTTTGGCCTCGATTCTAAGTTCGTATTTTTTTTCTTTTTCATAATCAATTAACCCTGTTATAATAACTACACCAGATTGTTCATTAACTGTAAACAAATTACTAAAACCACTGCTGATGTCTGAAAAATAATACGTTACAATACTATTTGATCCAAAATCTTGGTCACTGGCGTTAACAGTGGTAACGTAGGTATCTCTTGGAGCGTTTTCTATTACTGTAGCTTTGTATACAGACTGATTAAATACAGGTGCATTATCATTCACATCAAGAACAGTGATATCTATATTTACTGTACCAGATCTCTGCGGAGATCCACCGTCAACAGCTATCAGCTTTAGAGACAGATTAGGGTAGGTCTCTCTGTCTAATGGCTTTTGCAGCACCATCTCTGCGTATTTCTTTCCGTCGGCATTAGAGGTTTGTTTCACAACAAAATTCTCATTCTCGGTCAAAACATATTCCTTTAATCCATTGACACCAACATCTGGGTCTTCTGCACTCGTCAACGGAAAACGAGCGCCAGCACTGTTAATTTCGCTGATTTCAAAACGGATAGTATCTTTTTTGAAAACGGGAGAATGATCATTTATGTCTGTTATTTCTACTGTAATTTGATGCAACTCCATCGGGTTTTCTAAAATCATCTCAAAGCTGAAGCTACATGGCGTTTCGTCTCCACAAAGCTGCTCTCGGTCTATTCTCTCTTTCACGACTAGAATCCCTTTGTCCGTCTTCAGCTCGGTGTACTGAATGTTTTCTCCGGTCACGATACGGGCCCGTCCAGAACGGAGCCTCTTCAGATCCAAACCGAGATCCTGTGCTACATTACCGATTAGGGAGCCTTTCTTCATCTCCTCTGGTATAGAATATCGGACTTGTCCGCTGACCACTTGGATTAGATATATCAAGAAAAACAGGAGCTTCCCATTATGTCCGCATCCAAAGTGCCATCTCACGCATCGCGAGTATGGAGAGATTCCACACGCCATTGCAAAAATAAAAATAGTAAAATATACTCTGCACCGAAAAAAACACGACCCGTATCCTGAAAAAGGACACTGAGCGTACTATAAGGAGACTTTCCGTGGTCTTTTCAGTTTGTATTTATCCGAATTGAGATTTAAATGCTTGCTTGTTTGATACCCTCAGATATCAGCCCACTAAGTGCACACCACCTCCTTTTCTCTCATAGGGAGGGGACTTTGTGATAACGTTTTGGAAAACGTAGATTAACCAACAGCGTCGCTTAGAGTCCACAATCAGTAACACCGTGCAACATAGAATACATTCTGGAAAGAATAAGTGATTGATCAAATCTGAATGGTGCATACTCAAACTATGAAAAAATACGTAATCCAAGTATTCCGTAAAATAAAATAAAAATACATATTCATCTCAAATTAATTATTATCATGTATGTATTTGTGTGCAGTTAAATCTTTATAAACGCAAATAGAAACATAATTACCAAACAAGTAACCCAAATGAACACAAGCAAAGTACAACTTCAATCCTATTTAATTTAGGGAAACAATGTGAAATATAAAACATGGGGCTTGGTAAAGCTAATTGAGATTAAATAAGGAACGCATTGATTGTTAGTAAAAAAAAAATGCAGGTCAAGAGCAAACCACAACCACTATTTCAAACGTTTTAACAGACTGGAGAGCAGCCTCGATGCAAACCACATAAACAAATTACAAGACCAAGGTAAAACAAAATGCGCATAAAAAAAACCTTGTCTATGTAAACCAAAAATCAGCATATTAATAAGAGGGAAAAAAATGAGAAGAATATTTTGGAAAGTTCTGAAAGTAAATAATGAAGCGGTATTCATATCAAACGAGAGGAGAGATGCTGTCCATGGTGCTGAATAGGATGCAGCACTTCACTAACAATGTCTCTAAACACAGAAAAAGAGGAACCGTCACAGAAAGCTACATTATTTGACTCACCTCTAGAGGAGAGTCGGGTTCATCCAAGATGCTCTTTTCACTCTGTATCCGCTGCATCGTCCCTGTAGAACTGGGGTCCATTATCAGCACGTTCTGACTACCAGCTCTGCCGAACTTACAGTCACTCTTTCTGGAGTCAGTCGTCCTGCACACCTCGTAATTGTACACGTGTTGGAGAGTCCCTGTCCCCAAAGTGTCTGAGTAACGTGGTGGGTAATATGGAATCACAGGGAGATTGGAGTGACACATGATGCGAGACTGTCTCCACCTGTAGATCTTCACTGATATAATAACCACTAAACACGTGATGAAGAGGAAGGACACTACAGCCAGAGCCAGCACTAAGTAAAAAGTCAGGTTGTCATTGTACTCCTTGTCCTGTATAAAGTCAGTGAACTCAGACAGCACTTCCGGGAAGCTGTCAGCCACCACCACGTTAACAATGACTGTAGCTGAACGAGAGGGCTGCCCGTTGTCCTCCACTATAATAGTCAGTCTTTGTTTAACAGCATCTTTATCAGTCACCTGGCGGATAGTCCTTATTTCTCCATTCTGTAAGCCCACTTCAAACAGCGCCCTGTCTGTGGCTTTCTGCAGTTTATAGGAGAGCCAGGCATTCTGTCCAGAGTCCACATCAACAGCCACCACTTTAGTGACCAGATAGCCCACATCTGCTGAACGAGGCACCATCTCAGCCACCAGAGAGCCACCAGTCTGGACTGGGTACAGGACCTGAGGAGGGTTGTCGTTCTGGTCCTGGATCAGTATTTTCACAGTCACGTTGCTACTAAGTGGAGGAGAGCCTCCATCCTGAGCTTTGATCACGACAACCAAATGTTTGATCTGCTCGTAATCAAATGAGCGTACTGCATGTATCATTCCGCTTTCTGCATTTATAGAAACATATTCAGAAACCGGAGACCCGCCGATTTTTGTATCTTCCAGAATATAAGATATACGGGAGTTTTGGTTTTCATCAGGATCTTTAGCTCTCACAGTGAGAACAGAAGTACCTGGAGAGTTATTCTCTGCAATAAACGCATTGTAAACACTTTGTGAAAACACAGGAGCATTATCGTTCACATCAGAGATCTTTAAATGAAAGGTTTTTCTTGTCGAGAGAGGAGGCCTTCCTGCATCTGTCGCAACTACAGTGATATTATATTCTGAAACACTTTCACGATCCAATACAGTATCTGTTACCAAAGTGTAGTAATTTCTTAAATTAGATTTAATCTTAAAAGCTGTATTTTGTTCTATTTTACATGTTACCTTTCCGTTTTCACCTGAATCAAGATCTTTCACATTTATAATGCCAATAGTTGTACCAGGAGGAGAGTCTTCTGACACAGGGCTAGTGAAGGACATGACACTAATAGTAGGGGAGTTGTCATTTACATCACCTACTTCAATTATCACTTTACTGGAATCTGTCAAACCTCCCTGATCTTTTGCATCTATTCTGAGCTCGTATTTGATGTATTTTTCATAATCGATAGCACCTCTAATAAATATGACACCAGTTTTTTCATCAATCATAAACAAATTACCGAGCCCACTATTGAGGTCGGAAAAAGAATACGTTACAATACTATTTGACCCAAAATCTGCATCACTGGCGTTAACAGTGGTAACGTAAGTATCTCTGGGAGCGTTTTCCATTACTGTAGCTTTGTATACAGACTGATTAAATACAGGTGCATTATCATTGGCATCAAGAACAGTGATATCTATATTTACTGTACCAGATCTCTGCGGAGTTCCGCCGTCAACAGCTATCAGTTTTAGAGACAGATTAGGGTAGGTCTCTCTGTCTAATGGCTTCTGCAGCACCATCTCTGCGTATTTCTTTCCGTCGGCATTAGAGGTTTGTTTTAAAACAAAATTCTCATTCTCGGTCAAAAAATATTCCCTTAAATCATTGACACCAACATCTGGGTCTTCTGCACTTGTCAATGAAAAACGAGCGCCAGCATTAGCTGATTCGCTGATTTCAAAACGGATAGTATCTCTTTTAAACGTAGGAGAGTGATCATTTATGTCTGTTATTTCTACTGTAATTTGATGCAACTCCATCGGGTTTTCTAAAATCACCTCAAAGCTGAAGCTACACGGTGTTTCGTCTCCACAAAACTGCTCTCGGTCTATTCTCTCTTTCACGACTAGAATCCCTTTGTCTGCCTTCAGCTCGGTGTACTGGAGGTTTTCTCCGGTCACGATACGGGCCCGCCCAGAACGGAGCCTCTTCAGATCCAAACCGAGATCCTGTGCTACATTACCGATTAGGGAGCCTTTCTTCATCTCCTCTGGTATAGAATATCGGATTTGTCCGCTGACCACTTGAATTAGATAAAGAAAGAAAAACAAGAGTTTCCAATTCTGTCCGCAGCCAAAGTGCCATCTCACGCATCGAGAGTGTGGAGAGATTCTACACGCCATTGCAAAAATAAAAATAGGAAAATATACTCTGCACCGAAACCAACACGACCCGTATGCTTTAGTTTGTATTTATCCGAATTGAGATTGAAATGCTTGCTATTGTGTTACCCTCAGATATCAGCCCACTACGTGCACACCACCTCCTTTTCTCTCATAGGGAGGGGACTTTGTGATAATGTTTTGGAAAAACGTAGATTAACCAACAGCGTCACTTAGAGTCCAAAATCTGTAACACCATACAACATAGATGACTTTCTGGAAATATTAAGTGATTGATCAAATCTGAATGGTGCATACTCAAACTATGAAAAACTAATCCAAGTTTTACGTAAAATAAAATAAAATACATATTCATCTCAAATTAATTATTATCATGTATGTATTGGTTTGCAGTTAAATCTTTATAAACCCAAATACCGTTTGTTAATTACCAAACAAGTAACCCAAATGAACACAAGCAAAATACAACTTCAATCCTATTTAATTTGGGGAAGCAATGGGACATATAAAACATGGGGCTTGGTAAAACTAATTGAGATTAAATAAGGAACACATTGATTGTTAGTAAAACATTTCAAGTCCCAAACCACAACCACTATTTCAAACCTTTTAACAGACTGGAGAGCAGCCTCGCTGCAAACCATGTTTAAAAAATGATAAGACCAAGGTAAAGCAAAATGCGTCTAAAAATAAACGTTGTCTATATAAAACCAAAAATCAGCATATTAATAAGAGGGAAAAAGTGGAAAGAATATTTTGGAAAGTTCTGAAAGTAAATAATGAAGCGGTATTCATATCAAACGAGAGGAGAGATGCTGTCCATGGTGCTGAATAGGATGCACCACTTCACTAACAATGTCTCTAATCAAAGAAAGAGGGGAACCGTCACAGAAAGCTACATTATTTGACTCACCTCTAGAGGAGAGTCGGGTTCATCCAGGATGCTCTTTTCACTCTGTATCCGCTGCATCGTCCCTGTAGAACTGGGGTCCATTATCAGCACGTTCTGACTACCAGCTCTGCCGGACTTACAGTCACTCTTTCTGGAGTCAGTCGTCCTGCACACCTCGTAGTTGTACACGTGTTGGAGAGTCCCTGTCCCCAAAGTGTCTGAGTAACGTGGTGGATAATATGGAATCACAGGGAGATTGGAGTGGCACATGATGCGAGACTGCCTCCACCTGTAGATCTTCACTGATATGATAACCACTAAACACGTGATGAAGAGGAAGCACACTACAGCCAGAGCCAGCACTAAGTAAAAAGTCAGGTTGTCATTGTACTCCTTGTCCTGTGTAAAGTCAGTGAACTCAGACAGCACTTCCGGGAAGCTGTCAGCCACCACCACGTTAACAATGACTGTAGCTGAACGAGAGGGCTGCCCGTTGTCCTCCACTATAACAGTCAGTCTTTGTTTCACCGCATCTTTATCAGTCACCTGGCGGATAGTCCTTATTTCTCCATTCTGTAAGCCCACTTCAAACAGCGCCCTGTCTGTGGCTTTCTGCAGTTTATAGGAGAGCCAGGCATTCTGTCCAGAGTCCACATCAACAGCCACCACTTTAGTGACCAGATAGCCCACATCTGCTGAACGAGGTACCATCTCAGCCACTAGAGAGCCACCAGTCTGGACTGGGTACAGGACCTGAGGAGGGTTGTCGTTCTGGTCCTGGATCAGTAATTTCACAGTCACGTTGCTACTGAGTGGAGGAGAGCCTCCATCCTGTGCTTTGACAGTGAATACAACTTGCTTTATTTGTTCATAATCAAAAGAGCGCAATGCATGTATTGCTCCGCTTTCCGCATTTACAGAAACATATACAGAAATTGGAGATCCGCCTATTTCACACTCTTCCAAAATATAGGAAACACGGGCGTTTTGGTTTTCATCAGGGTCTCTAGCATGAACACGTAATACAGATACACCCGGAGAATTATTCTCTGTGGTGTATGCACTATAAACGCCCTGGGGAAATACTGGGGCATTATCATTTACATCAGAAACCTTAAGATAAAAGGTTCTTGTAGTTGAGAGTGGTGGCGAGCCAGTGTCTGAGGCAATAACAGTAATGTTACACTCTGGCAGATGTTCACGATCTAATGCAGCATCAGTGATCAATGCATAGTAATTTCTAACATTGGATTTAATTTTAAAAGGAACATTGCCTTCGATCGTGCACCTAACTTGTCCGTTTTCACTCGAATCCAGATCTTTAACATTAATTATGCCAATAGTTGTACCGGCGGGGGAGTCTTCAGACACAGGGCTCGTGAAGGACATCACGTTAATGACCGGAGCATTATCATTTACATCGATTACCTCAATTTCAACTTTGCTAGAATCTGTCAGTCCGCCATAATCTTTGGCTTCAACCCTGAACTCGACTTTTTTGTCTTTTTCAAAATCTATTTCCTGAGCCACATATATTTTCCCAGTAGCCTCATCTATTTCGAACAAATCAGCTATTCCTGCTTTTGATTTTGAAAATGAATACGTTATCTTTCCGTTTGAACCACTATCAATGTCGCTTGCATTCACAGTGATAATATGTGTGCCTTTTGGTGCATTTTCAATCACCGTGGCCTTATACAGTGTCTGGTTGAACACAGGTGCATTATCATTGGCATCAAGAATGAATACATCTATATTTACTGTACCAGATCTCTGTGGATCTCCACCGTCCACTGCCAGCAGTTTTAGAGACAGGCTTGGCTGCTCTTCTCTGTCCAGGGGTTTCTGAAGCACCATTTCAGCATATTTACTGCCGTCCGGATGGACATGTTGTTTCAAAATAAAATTATCGTTTGGAGTTAATATGTAATTCTGCAGACTGTTTTCCCCAACGTCAGCGTCGTCCGCACTCTCTAAAACAAATCGGGAAGCAAGCACGATTGATTCGCTTATTTCAAATTTCAGGCGACTGTTTTGGAAAATAGGAGCGTTGTCATTTACGTCCAATACTTCTATAGTCACAGGGTGCAACTCCATTGGTTTTTCCAATAAAATCTCAAAGGTAAAGCTACACGGTGTTTCGTCTCCACAAAGCTGCTCTCGGTCTATTCTCTCATTCACGACTAGAATCCCTTTGTCTGTCTTCAGCTCGGTGTAGTGGATGTTTTCTCCGGTCACGATACGGGCCCGCCCAGAACGAAGCCTCTTCAAATCCAAACCAAGATCTTGTGCTACATTACCGATTAGGGAGCCTTTCTTCATCTCCTCTGGGATGGAATACCGGATTTGGGCAACTACTTGATTGAGAAAAAAAAAGAGAAAAAACCCCAGATACAGTCCCCCTCGCAATTGTCCAAACGATCGGCATCTTACTCCTCCGTCTCGAGAATTGTCTTGACGTGCCATGGAAAACAAGGGTCTTAAAGCAAACCGGACAATACAATGAAGATTTTAACTGACTGACGAAAACACATACAGTCCAGATTATGGAAAATAGGAAGGTTAATATATGGTCTGTGTCTCCGATGAGCCCCAGCTCGTATTAATACAGATCATCCCCTCTTGTACAACGCAGTGACAGGGGAGGGAACAGAACTGCGTCACTATGCACAGTAAAATGATTTACCAGGCAACAGCGTCACTTAGAGGATAAATTATCAAACGTGCATCGCAAAAAAATCAACTGCATGAGTTGGAGTTTTGGTTGTAATTATATGGTAGTGCCATACATTTCGTTCTCATTCATGAAAAGAGGAAAAACAAAACAAAATACAGAAAAGGCTCTACTGCATTGACAGGAAACATTTACCTAACACTTAAAACTCCAACTCCTCCTTAATGTGCATTGAGCAATTAAGAGAGTCTAGCTCATTGTTCAAAGCATTGAGAGAATACCATGAAGCAGTAGTAAAAGAGTATATTTTCGCAGTCATTAAATGCAATTACTTAGACCATTATTATTATTATTATTATTATTATTATTATTATTATTATTATTATTATTATTATTATTATTATTATTACTATTATTGTTGTTATTATTATTATTATTATTATTATTATTATTATTATTATTATTATTATTATTATTATTATTATTATTATTGTTGTTGTTATTATTATTATTATTATTATTATTATTATTATTATTATGATTATTATTATTATTATTATTATTATTATTATTAGTTGTATTATCATGATAAGAACACTGAATTGAGTTATTAAATTCAACCAGGGTCTTAAAGTTTAGCCACAAAAGGTCTTCAATGACTTGACTCCTGGTAGGATGGGTTAAATGCAGAGGCCAAATGTCACTGTGTGTGCTGTGTGCTCTGCATGTGTGACCATTAAAAGAGGGTTTCATCCCTCCCAATTCAATTCCAATTCTAATTCTATTCTTCTATGACAGTCTTATTAAGAGTGTCTCAGTGCAAAGCAAATATTCAGCACCATGGACAGCGAAGGAGCTGCAGAACAGAACATAAACTCTTTGTATAAGTCCACTCTTTAAAATGTTATGTCAGTATTTGAAAGTAAAGCTTCTATATAATTCATGATGTCCATAAATGTAAAAGCTGATATGATTTACATCGAACAAACTGACTTACCAGAGTAGACATGCGAGGTACACCTGAGGCCTGTACTACGAAGCTGGTTCAACCTAACCTGGATATGTTTGAGTTAGCCGGTTGGCCTAAGCCAAAACATACGCGCTGGCGCTAAGCTGTACTACGACGCCGGTTATCAAGTGGATCGCTCAAGCCAGCCGTGTCCTATCTAGTTAGGTGCGCGTTCACATGAAAGGGGTGGTATTTGGAGCATTCGACCAATCTCAAACACGGACAAGCGTACTGACAGCGGAGCGTCATACTTCCTGAATGAAAAGTGAACTTTAATATTAGTCAAATATGAAGAAGTTAAACTTTAAACATCCATGTCTTAAACACTTTATCCAGGATAAAAGCCACATAGCTGCACCTGCAAGGTGAATACAGCTGGTAAAAGAAAAAGTGTTTGAATGCGTACATTAACAGGTTTATGAAATCACTGCCCCGTCCAAGACACGAGTGGATCTGACTTTAATTAGGAGAATTTGACTCGAGTGTTTCGTCAACTTAATGTGTTGCTTAAAATAATACTTCTGCATACAGTATGTGACACTGTGAGTGTTGCACGGCCAGATACGGCTCAAGAAGCTGACTCAAATAAGGAAATATATGATGCATTATGATGTGATATGATATGAATGATAATGGCACACATCGACGTCTGCACTCACAGTGCCGCGGACTGTACTTAATGTTACTCTGATCCGGTTACTTATGTCGTGGCAGATATTTAAGTAAGCTTTCTTAACGCTAATATTATAATAGTCAGATTGCTCTGAAGATGGGAGGGGATATTCTATTAATTTTCACGTTCACACAGTCAGTTGATTTTTGCCGGCTGTCTTTCCTGCAACGGCAGTTTTTCTGTATTTCCTCTATCCTGTAATATGACTTGATCGCTTTAAACTCCGCACACACGGAGCTCTGATTGGTCAGCAGGCGGTGCTTTCACTGAGTTGATCTCTTAGCCTGCCACCTAACCTGCTCCGGAGCAGGGGGCTATACTACGAATCAAGATTTTCGTTTAGCAAGCTAACTTCAGGGTTTTCCGGTCCTACGAAGCTGGTTCACTTTTTAGCGGGCTAGAGAACTTATTCTGAACGGCTATCCTCCGGAGCAGGATAGGTTCCAGGATAAAAGCACTGCCTGCTGACCAATCAGAGCTCAGTGTGCGGAGTTTAAAGCGATCAATTCATATGACAGGAGGAGAAAGGAAATACAGTTTAAACTGCCGTTGCAGGAAAGACAGCCGGCCAAAATCACCGACTGTGTGAACGTGAAAATGAATAGAATATCACCTCCCATCTTCAGAGCAATCTGACTATTATAACATTAGCGTTAAGAAAGCTTACTTAAATATCTGCCACAACATAAGTAACCTACAGTCCGCGGCACTGTGAGTGCAGACGTACCCCATTATCATTCATATCACATGATATCTCATCATAATGTATCATATATTTCCTTATCTGAGTCAGCTTCTTGAGCCGTATCTGGCCGTGCAACACTCACAGTGTCACATACTGTATGCAGAAGTATTATTTTAAGCCATGGGCGTCGCAGCCATTATATGAGGGTGGGACAAGTCCCCCCCACTTTTTCAAATGATTAGTTTAGACCCCCCCACTTTTACTATGCGGAAAGTCCGTGAATCGGTCTATCCACTCGCCGCACTTTGTAGAGCGCTGTGTCAGTGCTTCACTATCAAATGAAATCCATTCCACTTGCTTATTGAGAGAATGCCCAAATCAATGAAACTCCGTACCATGTTTTCACTGCTACTTTGTACCAAGGCAGATTCTCACATAGCGCGCATGTTCAAGGAGTGTTGTCATAGTTGGACAGCTCAGATCTGTTGTATGAAGCGATGCCGGTCGCGGAGGTAAGGCACACACACCAAATGTTCAGGAAATGGTTAATACAGCGAAAATCAAAGCTGACGATCTCTTGGTTTGATATGTTTTCTCCCCCAGACAACATGGACATAAGAACATTTTTTTCAAAGAAGAGGAAAGTAAGTCATCAGCTGGTAGCAGTTAATCAGTTAACAGTGATGGCGGCGTCTCACTTCTGGAGAGGAGTTTCGTCTTTATGTCATGATAGAGAGATACAAATACTGAATAGTTTAGATGAGAAAAGGCATCGAAATGCCAGGTTACTAGTATTTATCAGTATTTATTATCACTTCACCACCTCTCTTGACATCTAGGCACTTGAGAGTGAGTCAGAGGCAGAATACAGGGACAGTGGAGAGAGGTCCATTGCTGAGGTGAGTGATGAAAGGGAAATGACAGTTGAGAGTAAATTGTGATGTGGACTCTCATCCCAGGATTTTAAGGAAATCAGTGGGGATATTGAACAGGAAACATTTCAGTCAAGGGGCATCATATGACCAATATAGACAGAAGAGCAACATTTATTTGGACATTTAAAGGAGAGGTGTCATGGCCATTTCCACTGATCATAATTCCATTGTTGAGGTATACTAAAATAGATTTATACTGTGCATTTTTCCAAACTCACATTGGTTTCTCATACAGCATCTCTGTAAACTACTTGTATTCACTGAATTTCACTATTTGCCTTTAACGGCTCGTTGTAGCTCCAAAAGCTCCTGCCCCCACCCTCCCTGTGAGCACAGTGTGCTCTGATTGGTCGGGACGTTGTGAATCGCGCTGAGCTCCGTGGAGGTGTTGCTTCCTTGTTTAGGATACATAGCGAAACACAGCCAAACTCATCCTGAGCACACACAAACTCACATCCGAAGTAAAAACAATAAGTGTGGCTTGATATTGAGTAAGAAAAAGGTTGATAAACGCTGAGAGAATGGGTCTGCAGAGAGAATTTTGCCGCGATCCCAACTGTCTGTTATCAGCCTGCAGCCAGGGAGGAGAAATCAGCTGAGCTGCCTGCTCCCTGCACACAGATGTGTGTGTGAGGAAGTCCGTGGATCGGTCAATTTGGACCAATCAGCGGGGGCTTAACGTAACGGCTCCGCGGACGTAACGTAACGGCTCTTCGGGATTGGTCCATTTCGTTCCGGGTACCGCATGACATCAGGCGGTACCCGGAAGAATCAAATGGGCAGTGACGTATCTCCAACGAGGCGTTTTGGGGAGGTATTTTCTGTGTTAGAGTTTTACTCGCTACAGGGTGTACTTTGAGGGTTTTGACTCTGCACACCGTTTACATGCATAAAAACCTTCATAACACACAAGGGGACGGGTAATAACCGGAAAAGCATGACATGGGAGCTTTAAGTCAATGATACCATTCCTAGGTGAACTTAACATCTGTATGGAGTCAGATCAGTCTCAATATTAATAAATGCTCACAGAAGGATTCACAAATGTATTTTGCGATTTATATATAAATGACTCTCCACAACAATATCTCTCAATGCACTCACAAATATTTATTGTTGTATATAAATGTACAAAAAATGGGCATTTAAACTGCTTTTTATTAATTCAAAGACAGCTCTGAATTAATAATCAAATATGTTTCCTTTCTTTACTACTGAAATTACAAAATGTACCCATCATTTTCCTCATGCTAGTATAGCCACATAAAAGTATCAAACCACCTGTTAAAATGCACCAGAATACAGGAAATCTATATTTTTTTTCACCCCCACACCCCCGTTAAAAATGTCCCCCCCACATTCAGGATGCTTGCTACGCCCATGTTTTAAGCAACACATTAAATTGACACTCGAGTCAAATGTAATTAAAGTCAGATCCACTCGTGTCTTGGACGGGGCAGCAGTGATATCATAAAACTGTTAATGAACGTATTCAAACACTTTTTCTTTTACCAGCTGTATTCACCTTGCAGCTGCAACTATGTGGCTTTTATCCTGGATAAAGTGTTTAAGTCATGGATGTTTAAAGTTTAACGTCTTCATATTTGTCTAATATTAGTTGACTTTTCATTCAGGAAATATATGACGCGCTGCGCTGTCAGTACACGGCTTGTCCATGTTTGTGATTGGTCGAATGCTCCAAATACCACCCCTTTTATGTGAACGCGCACCTAACTAGATAGGACACGGCTGGCTTGCGGTCGAGGTGATAACCAGCGTCGTAGGACAGTTTAGCGAGAGCGTTTTTTTTTTTTGGATTTAGTCAGCCGGATAACTCAAAACATATCCAGGATATGTTGAACTAGATTCGTAGTATACCGCCCAGGTTTGCCGCTCAGCATAAGTTACCATGGAAATCTAGCCTGCTAAAAAGAGAACCAGCGTCGTAGGACCGGAAAGCCCGAGATTTCCCTGAATTTAGCCGGCTAAGCGAAAATCCAGCTTCGTAGTACAGGCCTCTGGTGACCGCTCTCCTTTCTCCAGAGTTTCAGTCCCAGCGTCATCCACACTAACCAAACTTTGGCTCATTGGTTGCTTATACTTGATGTCACTCCTTTGGGAGTCAGTCGTCCTGCACACGTAGTAGTTGTTCTCTATCAATTATTTCATTGACAACAATATGTCCTTTGTTATCGTTCAGCACGACATATTGGTTATCATCATCTATAACAAGTTGAGCCCGACCAGAAACCAACCTTTTTACTTCCAAGCCCAGGTTTTTTGCAACGTCTCCGACAAACAGCCCTTTCCTCATCTCTAGAATAACGAATTTGTCCACTAACTGCAGCAACAATGCAGAGAAGCAAAATGGACACTCTCCAATCAAATAACATGACTTTGCTCTTCAGAATATTCATGTCTTCCCGTGAATATCAGATCCAAAATGTCACACGTATCCGTTTAGAAAGAGAGGCCTCGTATCACGCTTACAACATGGAAAAGGTATTACTTAAGCTTCGGTCATATCCACATAATGCCACCATCCATACTAGAGGCTTAGTGAATATTTTTCACATCCTTTGCAGACGGTCGGTGACTTGTTGTAAGGCTGATGTTAGAGAGTCTGATTAGGCAACAGCACCACCAACAGTAAGATAACACCATAATCGGTATGTGTGCACCAATGCTTGGACTTTATACTCTGCATTTTCCAATTTCACGAAACAAGCCCTTCCTGCTGAACCATACATATTACAAAATATGACTATAAAAATAGTTCCGAGTAATACAGGTCTGGCACAAAGACAACATGTTCACAGTTTCTCAGTACCTGCTTATACAGAGACCCTGCTATGGTAATGTTAAGATATGAAAATACTATAAGTACAAGTGGGTAAGTCTGGGAAAACGTTGTATTGTGTCCGGAAGTTGTTTCCACTAATAACACAACTTCCTGCAGGTCATTGAAACATTTAACAGCTGCAATCATTTCAAATGTAAGGGAGGAACCAAATGCTTAAAAAATGTCAAGAACAAATTGTGGACGTACACACACTTAGTTGAACAGCACAGAGTTTTCTAAAGATAAATTCAAAATAAAAACATTAGATAATCGTTTCTGTCTGATCCAATCTGACTGGTAATTCCAGTGACCTACATTTTAGTAGTGGATTTCGCATCCAGTATGTATCCACTGCAACACTCACTCATGAGCATGAATTGGCACTGACACACTTTACAGCATATTCCTCTCCTTTAACATGATGTTTGCACAAACCTATTTTTAATAGGCCACAATAGTGCCTTGCATCCCCCCTTTCCCACACACACACACACACACACACACACACACACACACACACACACACACACACACACACACACACACACACACACACACACACACACACACACACACACACTATAAGCATACTACTGCACATCATGATTCTGCATTATTCAGGCATGGCTGCACAGCGGGATGATTAATATTAATGTAGTGTACAATCTCGGGTGGAATCACAAAGCGTGCAAAAATAGGAGCAATGCAGCTGCCTGTGTTGAAAAGACTGCTGCCTAAAATGTCAGTCTTGTGAATATCACTTTCAAAGCAATATTTGAGAAGATCAGTGTTTTTTTTTTGTATTTTTGATGCAGTTTGAGTGTGGTGAAGAATAGATATAGAAGAAAAAAGAGAGAGAGTAAAGAAAAGACATGGAACATTGATGAAAATTAAATATGGGTTGATGGTGTTTCATCTCGATGGTGTGAGACTGTAATACTAACACCTGTGGGAGACCTGTGTTGGATTTAAAAAGAAAGGATATGAAAATTATCTTACCTGCTGGATGGAAATTGTTGTTTTTTTCAAGGAGTGCACCGAGAAAGGAAAGGAGAAAAAAGCCAGTTAGTATTCATTCTTTTGAATTCTGAAAAATAGAAATGAATCAGATCTGGTCACATCATCATCACATACATTTATTAGCAATATAAACATGTCCTCAGCTTTATGATGAATAAGAAAAAGGTCTGATCTTTTGACATATCAGACACTATCGAGATGTGTTTACTGCCCTGGAGATTTGTCAACAAATTGAGTGCCACACAGGATCACTTCCAGGGTTGCTTAGCATTAGGTGTGCAGACTTCACAAATAGTGACACCAGATAGATGTTCAAGTTCATTCTTAATAATCACTTACGATGAACCATGGATTTCCCTAAATACATGAAAATGGAACACATTTTACTAACTACCAAAAATGAAACACTGATGTGAAATGAAACATGTATAATGGTTGTGGTATATTGGTGAGAATAGGTAGTCATAATGTTTTATAATCCCCATCAGTCAACCTCTAGAGTATATGACACTTTTATAAATCAATCAAATTAATGATGAAAATGTTATATCACTGTTGTAATGTGCATTAGAAAATATTATAGGAATGCCATCACAATGCACTACAGATGTGGTCTTCATAGAAAGTGTTCCTAAAGTAATATAATGTTAACAAAGATAAAGCTTCTCCCTGTTAAACTCTGTTCTGCACACCCCAGAGTATTATTAGCAAACCAAAAATAGTGCTGTGCCCTCCTTTCTAAACCGAGTCTTCAGAAGGTTACTTTCCCTGTCAATTGGCACCTTCTATGTGTTTCAAAATGCTGCTTACTTCATGATTCAATCAGCTTAACTCACATGCCCTTATCTTATTATGTTATAATTTAGAAAATTCATCTTGATTACATCATCCACTCATATCAAATCACAGTTTCAAATTCCCTGACAGTTAATCATAGAACAACTAGAGTGGAAATCATATGTTGCTAGAAAATCCCAACTCTTTGTTATATTTACAAAATGTGTCAAATTTGTTCAAAACATTTCATCCGTTACTTTGTGGATTAGTGTTTGGATAAAACTAAATGTAATCATTGTCAGTATTACAAAATAAGTACAATGGAAACCCTGTGATGTAAATGTATAGCAGCCATGCTGTTAAATTGACACAGCCTTTTTTATCTTTCTCTCATAGTGCCAAATGCAGAACTTAAAACATGGTTCCTGTGACCCAGATAATAGATAACAGTAATTGCTGTTTGTTGTTAGCACCTTCTTCCATGGAAAGAATTAGGGGCACAAACTACCCTGCAGCTATAACACCAACAGGAACACACATGAATTCACATGGGACTTATTTTGATGACAAAACCTCTCTGTTTTTACAACCATGACACAAACAAGCACACACATACAGACAACTGTTTTATAACAGCCTCTTCAGCCTCCTGCCTTCAGGAAGAAGGTTCCTCAGCCTCAGCTCGCGCACCTCCAGGCTGGGCAACAGCTTCCTCCACCAGGCGGTCAGGATGCTGAACTCTCTCCCCTCCCTCCCTCTCTCCCCCTCTCTGACATCTCTCCCCTGAACTCTCCACCCTGCCTCCGACCTTTCTCCCCTGCCCCAAATGGTCCTGGACTCTAACCCCCCTAACTCACTTTTCTGCCCATCTCCGCTGCTACTGCACTGAAACTGTACTTTGAACACTTAAATTATATTATTAACATTTTAAACTGTATACCCCGGTTATCTAGGCCCTTTGTTTTGTTTAATGTATACCCCGTTTATCTAGGCCCTTTTTGTTTTTTGTTTGATGTATATGTCACACTGTAGGACTGCGGGAAACGATATTTCGAGATTTCTGGATGTACAACATGTAGAATTCTTGACAATAAAGCTGACTTTGACTTTGACTTTGATAAGACTTACCACTAGTCTAACATAAACTACAATTCTTGTCATACGTGAACATATTTATGTTGTATGCTGCTTGTGACTTTAAATGCTTTGCTTTTGTCATTTTGTTGTGTTTTACCTTTTTATGTCTTAAACCTATTGACTCAAGAAACCTGAAAAAAAACATTTTTTAAATAAAAAAAAGTTTTACTATCACTATTCTTATATGTTGTATTAAGTTTTATTATAAGAAGTAGGTGCAGTAATGTGTATTTATTTACATGTTTATAATTGTATTTCTAGGACAATGCTTCACACAATATATTAAATGATTTAGTCAAATATGTTAAAGGTGTATGCATTGTATAAAGCTATGCTGACACATTTGTCCTTTGCTTCTATTGTTTAAGCAGTTTTGGTATTGAAGCATTACGATACTTATTTGTTAATGTCTACATATTAAATGCACCATTTTTAACTGTGTGTATTAAAATAAATGCCTGAGAAATATAATTCATTTGATATTTCAAGTTAGCAGCAAAGTTATGGTAAAATAAACAACGTTATATTATCTATATGTATTTGCTCTGCATTAATGTTATATGATTTGTAACCACTTTACAATATCACATTATCGAATGGCAAATCAGAAAATGGAGAGGCTTCTTTTTATTTTTTGCAAAAATGTATTGCTCTATCCTAAATGGAGGCATGTTGTACTATAAAGACATGCATGACTTTCATATAGTGCATATATGAATCTAACATACGTATCTTCCTTGGTGTTATGTCTTTTTTTTGGACTTTTTTATCATGTTAAAAGATTGTTTTCCTCCTTTGAAATGCTGTATCAAATGAATGTGAGGAATCATTCAAGTCCTTATCTTATGCAAGTATGTCAGGGTGTATTAACTTATTAATCACAGTTGCCATGGATTTTTGCTCATGTGACCATAAGCTTTGTTTTCTTGTATCCTTTGATTTCTCTCCTTTACAGATTATGTTTAAAAGCTCAATAAGGCACCGGATAACTAAAAACAATATTCTCTTCAAGTTTATTTTTCCTCTGTATACACTTATAGTCTGTTTACATAAAGTTAAATCCATACAATGTAGTACAAACCTTTCATTTGACTCTATCACCCATGTGTTACTTTGTAAAAACACAACATGATTCTATCAAAACTTGGCTGTTGTGTATTCCAAGTCAGACAATTGACATTAATTACAAGAGCAAAGGCTGCACCAACACATTATTAGAGGCAAAGAAGAGTATACCAAGGACAAAGTAAAATATTTTCAGAAAGAAATACGACACAAATGTTTGTTCTCGTAAGATCAGAAGATAGTAGATAGAGTAGTCAGAAATGTCCATGCACTTACAACAATAAGTAAGACAAAGAAAGGGAGAGTATTCTGCCTGAATAAAGTTCAACAAACAAACAAACTGCTGAACATGTTTTCAATATTTCATTTAAAAAATCGAAAACGACACAGATGGAGATTTAATAATGACCATGTATATGCTACTATACCATTTTCTTTTTTTAAATCTTCCAGAAAAAACAAGATTTTCATCTATATTTAAGGTCAAGTTATGTGGGATAATGCTGAGGTTATCAGCATAACTCCAAAAAACGTTACAAAACATATTGTTGCATTGACAACACAGAGATACAATTCTGTAATATTTGGCCTCCCAAGGGTCAAAATTAAATTAATCGCACAAGTTTTATTTTACAACATATATAAAGTGATGGGCCGACTTTTATTGAAATACATAACAAGGCTGCGGAACCCCTGCCCTCACTTTCAGAGTAGCCCTATCTGTACTCGCGCGCCTTAGCGTGTTTTTTTGATAGGCTGCACTTCTTTGCTTCAGAGTGTCAGTGTCTGTGCTTGAGGCGAAACGAAAATCGCCTCTCCAAGACCCAGTGGTCAAAAAGGAATCATACCGTTCATCTTTCATCAGGGTCCCGCAGTGGTTTAAATCTGTAAAACTAGGGGGGCAGTAGGTAGTGGGAAACATGGGGAGACTAGCATTGGTTGAACGGTAAACATAACTATGCCTGCAGAGCTTAAAATAAAACACACCACTGATTAACAGCACGAAGAGAGCAGAAACAGCTGACAGAGCAATGATCAAATAGAGCGTTAAGTTATCGCTGTCCTGTGACACATCTGCAAACTCAAAGAGTTCGTTTAAAACAGGAAGCCCGTCACTAATCTCTATGCTGACTGTAGCGGTGGCGGACAGAGATTCTGGCCCATTATCCGTCACAGAAACGACAACAGTTTGTTTTGGTTCATCTTCCTCGATGAAGGCTCGCACAGTTCTGATTTCTCCTGTATGCAGACCGACCATAAACAGGTTAGGCCGCGTTGCTTTGATTATTCTGTAGGAGAGCCAGGCGTTATGGCCAGAGTCGGCGTCCACAGCTACCACCTTAGTAACCAGGTAGCCTTTAGGAGCTTCAACTGGCACCCTGTCCTCAGCAATGAACCCGGTGTTTTGGACAGGATATAGGACAACAGGTGCATTGTCATTTTGATCCTTAATGAAAGCGTTAACAGTGCAGGTGGAGGAGAGAGGAGGATCCCCTCCATCTCGAGCTGTCACCTTAATTTGAAAGTGAACTGATTGTTCGTAATCAAATAGAAGGGAAGTGAAGAGCTCTCCTGTGTCGGAGTTGATGGTGAGGAAGGAGGACACTTCTGACTTTGTGTCCTTTGATAATTGGTACAGTATATTTGCATTAGATCCGTCATCAATGTCCTCTGCTTTTACTTTCATCACAAACGTGCCCACAGGTTGGTTTTCCAGGATGTTGGTATTGTACTCCCTCTGCGTAAAAGTCGGGGGGTTATCATTGATGTCATTGACCACAATTGTTAAAACTTTTACACTGGAGAGTGAGGGGGAGCCAGCATCAATGGCAGTGACTGTAATGTTATACTGGGGTTGAAGTTCTCTGTCCAGTATTCCGTCAGTCACTAACATGTAGTAGTTTTTGACCTCGGATACAAACTTAAATGGGACACCGTCTTGGATTCTACACGTGACACGCCCACTGCTGCCTGTGTCCAGGTCATAGATGTTAATCAGAGCAACCATAGTTCCTAGTTTAGAGTTTTCAACCACATTAGCTGAGGCTGATTTTATTTCTATAATGGGTTTGTTGTCATTGACATCAAGGACGTCAATGACAAGTTTACAGTGAGACGCCTGACCACCCCCATCTTTGGCCTGAACATCCAGCTCATGCGTACTGGCATCTTCATAGTCAATGGTACCTGACAGCCGAACTTCTCCACTCACAGGGTCAATTTCAATTACCCCTCCTATCTTGTCTGACAGGTGACTGAAAGTGTATGTTATCTCTCCATAAAGACCTTCATCCGAGTCCGTTGCATTCAGCTTCGCTATGAGAGTCCCTATGGCAGAGTTTTCTGGGACAGAGGCTTTGTAAACTCGTTGGCTAAAAACTGGGACATTGTCATTGGCGTCCAAAACACGGATATGGATAGAAGCAGTTCCTGATCTGACTGGATTTCCCCCGTCAATTCCATTGATTTTCAGTACATGTTCAGCCTGTGCCTCTCGGTCCAAGGCCTTCTTAAGAACTAGTTCAGGATAAGCATTGCCGTTTATTTGGGTACTAATTTCAAGTGCAAAATGATCATTCGGACTAAGTTTATATTCACGGACTGAGTTCGTTCCCAGATCGGGGTCATGCGCAATCTCCAGTGGAAAGCGCCTCCCCAGGACTGTGGATTCGACTAAATCTAGTTGTATCTTCCCTACAGCAAAAACTGGGCTGTTGTCATTTATGTCAGCAATATCCAAAACTAAGCTGTATGCTTGCAGAGGATTTTCAAGCAGAAGCTGGTACTGTAGGATGCAGACAATGGCTTGCGCGCACAGCTCCTCTCGGTCTATCCGTTGGGTGATCAAAAGATTGCCTGACGCAGTGTCCAGTTCACACAGCTGGCTAGTTCCTTCTGCAACAACACGGGCTCGACGAGCATCAAGCTCCGTTACTTTCAGTCCCAGATCCCGTGCAACGTTCCCGATAACCGACCCCCGCTGCATCTCCTCTGGAAGGATGTAACGGACTTCTCCAAACGACATTCCAAAAAGCAGGCAAACTAATAGAAAATGCGGCCACCATTTTAAGTTTACTCGCTGGTCCATTATTAAACATGCTTTAAGAAAAAGCTGTACAGTCGCCATTACAACTAAATTCTAAACATATACATCCAAGTAGCGAACAAAAAATGCTGCTGAATCCAACGGTTCCCTGCTTCTCTAGCTGCGTTAATCATGCTCTATTAGGAAAGCTGTCTGCTTGGATTCCTCTCTCTCTGTCCCAATTGTATTACTGCTCGTTCTCTCTCGCTCCCTCTCTGCCTCTCTCTCACGGAAAAAAAGTCTCCCTCTTCTTCTCTCCCTCATACACCCACACATCCACATACAGCATGCACAGCCCTGGGCTCTAACTCAATACTCCAGTTCCACTGACACAGATAAGGTGAGACACGCCATAGCATCCATGAGCCAGACATTATAAAAGAGCGTCACCAAGAGACTGAGATGGTTATTGCAACAGTAGACAGTATGATATGAGACAGAAAGTACATTTGCTTATATTTTTAACAATATATTGCACTGTGACCAATATATAGCCAGGTACAAATCCAGTTGTGGAAACGTATAATACAAGATGAACATTTGTCTCTGACACGATGGACAGGAAAATCATCAACTGAAAATATACATTTGAAATAAATTGCGTCTTTGTAAATGTAACAATGATTATGTTTCATTGATATTACATGTGTTGATTGATCTAAGCGTCATAACTTCTCAGCTGTTTGAGCCAGAGACATGCGGTGTTTTTCCTCTTAAACTACAGAAACGGCACCAAACAATTATATTACGTTTTTCACTGAGAGGCGTTTACTTATTTCGGTGAAACGAATGTGCGTAAAGTTTTAAAAGATGCGGATAGTCTCCTTGATTCTGGCGCATTGCTTATCGTTTTCTGTTTTATAGATCTATTATCATCCACCATCTTTATTTGTGACGTAAAGAGTGTAAGAGTCACGTTTCTGAATCGGACACTCTGAGTGGATGCAGTCACAGCCAATCGGAGTCTGATTCAGAGGGTTGCCTGTCAGTTCCATTGTTTTGTGTACTGAGACCGTTCTTATTATACTGAGACGAGAGCCGGTATAATTCCACGCGCACAAACCAAATAAAAGTTGTAATACGTTCTTTTAGTGTCAAAAAAGTAAAAGTAAAAGTAAACTGAGGTATGGCAAGGAAGTTTACTACAGCTGAGGCTTTGGAGCTGATTTTTCAAGGTGACGATGTCGAGGAAAATTCAGACGAATCTGAGTGTGATTATGGACAGGAACTGCCATGATATATATCATGTGTAGTCTTCAAAATTGGCAGGACAAAAAATGACAATTCCTGGCAAAAAAACGACCATGGACAATGCCCAAAAGAATGGACTTAACTAATGAACAGAATAAGTTAATCTTCTAAACAGTTCTGATACAATCATAATAAATGTGTGCAAATGTCTGTGTTCAATGTTTCTTTCAATGTTGTGGTTAGCAGTTCCTTTTAATAAAATAAGTAACAAATTCAAGCTCCGTTTTTATACAGTTTATTTTATTTATGGGCAAATATCCCCTATTATAGTGTATACAAGTCTCTAATAACGAGTGACATATATCATGAGCTGAGGTTGTGCGGATTTCTAGGATGGGTAAAACTTGATTATACTGTAAAGAAATGACAACGTATAAGGCAAAACACAAAAATATACATAAACGGAAATGTCCTATGTGGGTCTCAGAGGGTTTTAAAGTCTATTTAACACCGTTGCATCGTTTTCTCAAATTGTAATGAGATACTTAAATTGCTGAGAATATTAATAGTTGATGTAAATGAATGAAAGGTGTTATATTTAAAAAGGGGCTATATATGGGTTAAATGAACTCAAATCTATTAAATATTACTATAACTATATGAACCACAAACAAATGTTTTATTGAATAATAAAACTGGATGATTTGTTTTATGGAGAAAAAAAAGTCAACTTATAATTTTAATTTAAGAAAAAAGAATGAACTCAAAATAAACAAGGCATCAGTTCATATTTTTCTTGGGCAACTGTGACAAACTTGACCTCCTTTCAGGCACGTAACATAAAGTCCCAACTCAAGGGATTGACAATACTTACACTACAATTACACTAGAGAACATTGCAGCACCAAGGACACAGATGAGCTGAAGCTGTCAAGTGTGTGTGTGTGTGTGTGTGTGTGTGTGTGTGTGTGTGTGTGTGTGTGTGTGTGTGTGTGTGTGTGTGTGTGTGTGTGTGTGTGTGTGTGTGTGTGTGTGTGTGTGTGTGTGTGTGAACGTATAACAGGCATGGCAAAGAAAACGAAGAAAATGGGTAGACTTGATTTTTCAGCACCAAGGAGAGAGACAAGTTTTGAACGGAAAAACCGGCTTCAATAATAACATATGTTACTACTTGAATCACCAAAGAATTTCAAACACCTGCTTACTAAGATATAAACTATGCTGTCGAATCGTGATGCATTATAAAGCCCATTGATGCGTTAAGTATCAATTTTAGTTACTTGTAAAGTTCCATGATTTTGCTCGACCTTATATTATATATATATATATAATAGTCGTGTAAAGACAGAGAATGACAAAAACATATCTGAACAGCTTGATCATCACAGTGCAAATATAGGTGTCAACCTTAAGTGACAACAATTCCTACCTCAGGAGAAGAATCACAATCTCCAAACACTTCAGCAAAGTCTGAAGGGCTTTTCCTCAGAGTCTGGTCAGCAGGCAGTGTGTTGTCATTGTAAGATGACTCGAACTTAAAGTCACTGGTTCTAGAACCTGTTGTCAGGTAGGCGTCATAATTATAAGCACTACGTAAAGTTCCTGTGCCGTCAACATCTGCGTAATTAGGAGGGAGATAAGCGCTGGGGATGGCGACTGCTCCATCAAACAACAGTCTGGGCTTTCTCCTGCGACAAAACCTCACACCGAGGATGATGATAATGAAAGTGAGAAAAAAAGTGGACACGGACACCAGCGCGATGATCAGATAAGAGGTCAGTTTGGAGTTCTTCTCATCGTAAGACATATCCTTCAGTTCTGGCACCTCAGCCAAGTTATCAGAGATAAGTAAATACATGGAGCAGGTGGCAGAGAGAGAGGGCTGTCCGTTATCTTTCACTGACACAATAAGGTTCTGTTTCATGCTGTCAGATTCAGAAATGTCCCGCTGTGTCCTGATCTCTCCGCTGTGGAGACCAATAGTGAAAAGTCCCGGATCAGTGGATTTGACTATATGATAGGACAGCCAGGCGTTCTGTCCGGAGTCCGCGTCCACCGCGATCACTTTGGACACCAGAGAGCCTCCGTGTGCAGCTTTGGGGACCAGCTCGGTCATGAAGGAGTTGCCCTCCGGGGATGGGTACAGTATCTGGGGAGAGTTGTCATTCACATCCGATATGAACACACTGACGGTCACGTTGCTGCTGAGCGGAGGAGAACCGTTGTCTCTGGCCATCACGTGGACTTTAAAACTCCTGAACTGTTCATAATCAAACGACCTGACAACGTGGATCACCCCCGTGTCTCCGTTAACAGACAGATAGGAGGACACAGGGGCACCGTTCACCTCAGCGGGTAACAGAGAATAAATCACCGTACCGTTTTGTCTCCAGTCGGGATCTCGAGCAGTAACGGAACATAAAGTGGAGCCAGGTTTGTTGTTTTCAGTCACATATGTGCTGTAGGACTGCTCCTCAAACACAGGTGGGTTGTCGTTGATGTCTGCTACAGATAACTGAACCGTTTTAGAGGAGGACAGAGGGGGGAAGCCTTCGTCAGTGGCAGTGATTGTAATGTTGTAATCAGACACTAGTTCACGGTCCAGTTGTCCTGTGGTTACCAAAGAATAATAGTTTTTAATAGAAGGAACCAACTTAAAAGGGACGTTTTGCTGAATGGAGCAGCGGACCTTTCTGTTATTCTCAGAGTCTCTATCCTGCACGTTAATGATGCCCACCTCTGAACCAGGTGACACGTTCTCAGGTATGGGGTTTGTCAGGGATTTTAAACTGATAACAGGGGCGTTATCATTCACATCAGTGATAGAAATGATTACCTTAGCATAAGATGACAGCCCTAGCCCATCTTTTGCTTTAACTCGTATTTCAAATAATGTGGTAGTTTCATAATCGATACGACCAATCACTCGTATCTCACCGAATTTTCTATCAATACTAAATATCTTCTTGACATGTTCAGTAACATGTCCAAAGTCATACGTCACATCTCCGTTGACTCCCTCGTCTGCATCAGTAGCACTCACTGTGACAACTACAGTGTCTACAGGAGAGTTTTCAGGCTGACTGGCTTTATAGACGGCCTGGCTAAACACTGGGGCGTTATCATTAGCATCCAGCACAGTGACGTGTATGACTACAGTACCTGATCTCCGAGGAGAGCCTCCATCTAAAGCTGTGAGGAGCAAATTGATCTCTTGTTGTTTTTCACGATCAAGCTCCTTTTCAAGAACAAGCTCTATTGTGTTTCCATCAACAGACAAAATGAAATTATCATTCTTTTTGAGGGTGTACTGCTGAACTGAATTCTGTCCTACATCCGCATCGTGCGCCTCCTCTAGCACAAAACGAGCTCCCTTACCTGCCAATTCGTGAATTTCTATATTTATAAATTCTTCGTTAAATTGTGGCGAGTTATCATTAATATCTTGAATGTGAAGACTAATCCGATGGAGCTCGAGAGGATTCTCCAGCACCAGCTCGTATTTTAGGATGCACGAAGCCTTTTCTCCACAAAGCCCCTCTCGGTCAATCCTGTCGGCAACAATCAACTCCCCGTTATTCAGGTTTATGTCACAGTAACGTTCATCAGTCCCATCGCTGTCAATGCGGGCTCTTCTGTTAGAGAGCGCGCTCCTTTCCAGCCCGAGATCCTTGGCCATATTTCCAATGACTGATCCTCGTTTCATTTCCTCTGGAAAAGAGTAGCTCACGTCTCCATACGCAGCATGCAGGAAAGAAAGCACTACAAAGAAACCGCACGTTTGAAACGAGATTACGTTGGAATCCATCATCGACTATAAATTCCTTACAGATTGAAGAAAAAAGAGAATA